GTGGCGAAATGCTACAAGTTCTTCAAATACCTATAGAATGATAGGTTTCTTTTTTTGTGTGAGTGTAAAACACCTAAATACACTAGTTTGAAGTATTTTTGTTATCAGGGTGGATTAGTAATGACAATCCTACAAGCAATAATAAGTGGGGTGACTTTCACTTTTCTGTATCAGATTTTCATTGTTACCTTGATTAATCTATTAGTTTCACGTACAGACGAATATTTGGAACATATTTAAGCAAACGTTTATACTTGGATTTATCAATTAAAGCAGAGTATGTAAAGCATTTGTGGGGGGGGGGCTATGGACACAACGTCATTTCCTCTAAACATATAACTGTTTTACACATTTACAAGTTATTTATTTGCGAGATGATAAAGAAAAAACAGACAATAAAATGCTTTACTATTTTTCATTCTCACTCTGCTCAAAACTTGTAAAGCAAGAAAATTAAATATGGGAATAGATATTCATTACACTTAAATATTTTCTTTGTTCAAACTTAATTAATTCGCGATTTTCTTTATTTTTATTATTGCATGCGAAATAAATAACTCCACAAGTGACGTTTAGAATTTTTTTAGCAGTGCTTTATATTTTAGAAAAATAGAAAATCTACATTATTAACCTTTTGATGGGGTTCTAACGAGCCAAACAGGTTCACTATTCCTGCGTCTTAAGCCTATACTCTGTAATTCTTTGTACCAATGAATTGAGAGTCCAGGTTCCAGCGGTTTTGCTGTGTTTTCATCACTACTAGCTGTTACCTCTTGGCTTGCACTACGCTTGAACGACAACCGTGATCGGCGAGACGAGTTTAACTGATGTATTTGGCTATTAACTTCCATAATTATGCCTCTTTTCGTTTACGAGTGTTTCAAAGTCCCACGTTAGAAAGTTCAGCTCTTGTATGTACTGGATAACAAATCACAACCAACCTTCGATGCTTTTACTAAGTTGTTTATGGTTTAATAAATAAATTTAAAATAAAGCTAAAAACTTCTCTATTCGTAGAAAGAAGTAACCGAAAAACAACTTCGTAAAATATGTTACCTTACGTATAAAATTTTCACTGCTCACCTATAAAACTATTAATTTACCTAATAAACACAATTTTCAAAAACTCGAATAATTAAATTTATGTATAACCCACTCTGCAAAATCATTTGATTCTTCTCGCTTCGATCTCACATGGATGATGAAATACAGGTACTAAAGCACGGGTATCACGTGCCAGAAAAAGTTCAGCTAATTGTGCACAAAACCAGCTGGTGATCTAAATGTACCACCTTTCAATAGACTAAGGTAAAGGTAAACACCGAAAACAAAACCTTACCGCGTTTCTCGTGCGCTGTTCCTAATCGCAAAGACAATTCCAAGCAAAGGAAGCAAGAACGAATTTCTCAATAAAACAAATTATAAATATTTACAAATATCCACCATTATAGGCAGTTCGAATACTAAATTTATTCTATCAGAATGCAACAACAAACAATTCGTTAAAGATCGATAAATCATTAGGCTGGGCTCATTAATTCATAATTTCTGCAAAGAAGCATATTTTAGTTGATCTTTCAAA